CAGTCCTGCCAGCTGAAACAGCCATGTCTTGAGGGCGCGGCGGAAGGAGGGGAGATCCGGAATCACCCGGATCTCTGGGGGCAGCTCGTTCCAGAGGGTGGGAGCTCCAACAGAGAAGGCTCTCCCCCTGGGGGTCGCCAACCGGCACTGTCTGGTTGACGGCACCCTGAGGAGACCCTCTCTGTGGGAGCGTATCGGCTGGTGAGAGGTGATCTGTGGCAGAAGGCGGTCTCGGAGGTAGCCTTCTGTTACATATAGTGAAGAAGCATAAAAGCCTCTACTGCCTTGGTTTCCCTGTACCAATTGCCATCCTTGTACTCCTCGATACACATCCAGTTCTAAAAAAATCCAGTCACACAGTGACAGGCCTCTTTGTTACAACAGAATTAAAGTTGTTAACAATTGTAAATATTAAGCTCAATTGTCAGTGGGTAAAACAGACAATGCAATAGCACATGTGAAATAGATTCTTTCTCCCTGACTGAACAGAAAAAAATACAGCTTTCATATGGGAGACTTATAAATACCAATGGTTGCCCTAATAGGTAACATCTCAATACATGCCGGGGCAAATTGTCTCATTTGAGGGGCACATATAATATTGAAAAAAATATCTAGGGACAGTCCAGGGAGGGGAATCAATTGCACTATAAAAGGGGTGGGAAATTGTGGCTCTTTTATTTTGCATATCTAAATCCTAAGTCATTTGCTTCAGATAAATTAAAATTTTATCAAGACTCAACTCTGATAATGTTGAGAAGGAAAGACCAACACATGGCAAATTATCATTAATTTCTCTTTTTAGAGTAGAATAGAACCTGTCTAATAAGGTGAGATGAATTAAGGAAAGTCCCCATTTGACTTGCTTTAGCCAAAATTTGAGAGAATGAAGTCTTAAATAGATCCCAAGGAAAATGCAGTCTCATTTCAATTGCATTCAAGTGTTAAAGATTGGATAATGGACTCATATTTAAAAAATAAATAAATCAGATTTTTAAAATTTTTGATTGAATTCTTTCTAAGCTAAAATTGTTTCTAAGCTAAAAAAAATTAAACTATCTCCTTACAGATACACAACTGAGGCATATTAGATCTAATATTTCTAAAATAAATTTAATTGAGCTAGATGAAAACTTGAAGATTTGCAAAACCCTGAATTCTACCTTGTCTATCAGAACTTTAACTTTTTCAAAAACTACAGCAGCATTGATCTAGACCAGAGGACACCATTTGGACACCAGGGACCAGTTCAATGGAGAAAGGTTTTTCCACGGACCGGAGAGTGTGTGATTTCGTGTGCTGCCTGCATTCCACGGATGGGGCTTTGCTTATTTGTGTGGACCAGTTGCTGGCATGCTGCGGCCCAGTACTGGTCCATGGACCGGGGGTTGGGGACCTCTGATCTAGACTATCTATATACTATTAAAACTCTCATGTATATAACCTTTAACTGGGTGAATTTGTATATCATAGGGTAAAATCTTTTCAACCAAAGTACCTCAAATGGGCTAATTTATAGAATGCATCCAAAACTGAGGACTCATGTCTCCCATGGAATTAATTTTTTTAATTTTTTTATAAAATTTGGCAAATTTTATAAACCACTTCATGACACAAAAATGGACAGAAAGCATTTTATGATGTAATAAAAAAATGTCATGAAACATTTCCTGTGCTATACAGCTTAACATAGGCTACTTTCAAAGCAGATACATCCCTGAATATTTCCCTGAATTTCTAAGAACTTTTCAAGTACATTAGTTCTGTCATTGTTCAAAGCGTTGAGGAATCCGGTAAGGAAATCTCTGAAATGGTCACAGATTCTGTAGGTTTTTTTTAATAAAAACTGCTGACTTTTAATCATTTTCTTTCGAAGTAAAACTAATGGTTTATCCATCCATAATTAAAATATTCTCAGATTTACAGCTATGTAGGGTGAGTTTATGCATCACACTAAGACCTGGTTTGCCTGAATTTCAGTTGTCTGGGTTTGTGTAATATACTAAGCCAAAACTAGGCAAATCACACTTTAGCTTAGTGATATACATTAACCAGGGCAGTGAGTAGGCTCACTAAAGCAGTGGAACTCTATTGAAGTAATTTAACATTAAAAGTGTTTAAATATGGCTGGGTGTTCTAAACTGTTTCATATATAAGAATCAGAATTATTTGAAATTCTGTATTTATTTCCAGTCCCTTTTTACATTATATTTCAAAACATGATTGTAAATTAGCCAGAATACCAACCCCATATGTAATTGTATGGCAACTTCTAATTATTCTAATAGGTAATAAGAGATAGATCTTACAATAATTCTTTGTAATAGGATGATGGAATCCTATGATGGAAGGTATGAGTCAGTGAGATCTTAAATGTGTTGCTTTATTTAGCTGTTTCTATCAAAGTTTAGGGAATTCAGCAAAGTTGCCTATCTGATTTAGATTTTATGCAAGTAGTCTTATTATATAATTTTTTAATTAGCAAAAATATTCTTTCTATTTATTTTTGTTGTTTTTAATAGTTTTTTTTTCAAATTTGCAATTTTCTGTTACTGTTTTTAGTTTAACTCACAGATGCATAGAGCTGAATACATTAATAAATTTAGTTACAGTAACCTGCCCTTCCACTTCCTTTAAATTTCATTTTTTTTCCAGATAGTTACAAGCATTCTGCTACGGTTGCGTTTTTCATATTCTACATATTCTCTTTTCACAGTAGTGTATATTTTTCTCCAATCCTTTTAATATGTTTTAACTGGCAGTCTACTTGAACATCTTTTCTTTTAATATATAATTTCATGTCTGGATAATAATGTCTGTTCTAAAATTTAACATCTGTGCTTAATATATTGTTTCCTGACCTAGACAAATTTATCTGCTTCCCTTGCAACTTGGCCTGTAAACAAGTGCTTCTGGGTTGAGTTCGTTCCTCCACTGATTTCAGAGGCAGTCACAGCAATGATACCGAAGGAGGAAGGCAGCACTATTGTGGCTGTTTTTTATGAGGACAATCTATCTGTAGAAGAGCTGAATAGTGAAACCATCTTTAGTCTCTTCAATTAAAAACTGTTATCTGCTTTGCTCATAAATTTAGCCTGGTATGAGGGAAGTGATTTCTGTGAGAGCTTGATCTTTCGCACATCTTGAAACAAATTCAGTAAAACCTGAGAAGACTGAGAAGACCTTATTCTATTTTAGAACAGGTCTTCATCTGCTGACACGATAATCTTAATTCAGAGTAGAATCTATATTGAAGATCTAAATGAGAAAGAATGAAATATATATTTTCAAAATCATAATATTTTTCTTTTCATAGATGCCATAGTCTAATAATTAAGGATTACAATCTGAATTATTTCTGTGTATTAGAATTTTTATATATCTTTACATTTGTTGCATGCATTGTTGCATTTATTCCCTCTGATCCCTAATCTTCATTAGACTCTGACAAGCTGGTTGAAAAACAAAACCCCTTGTTACTTCACACATTGATAAACTTTATTGTGAGAACCAAACAAGTGTAGTGCAAAAGTAAATCCTCAATTCTGAGACAAATTCTAAGAAAAACAACAACATAAAGAATAGTTACAGAGTTTGTGTTTTTCATTCCATAGTTGAAGAGATTAAGAAAGGTAATGATTATTGCAAATGAATCTGCAAAATGATGTTGTTGAAAGAAACATTAGATTTATTCAGCCAATAAGACCTTTTTTTTTTAAAAAAAGAGTTGTATTTTGGAATGTAAAAAGATTGATATTTATTTACATTTTTAATTTTTTCCTAGGGTGAGTTGTTAAATCCTTGTCGCTGTGATGGCTCTGTAAGATATACACATCAGCTCTGTCTACTGAAGTGGATCAGTGAACGAGGATCATGGACTTGTGAACTCTGCTGCTATAGATACCATGTTATAGCAATTAAAATGAAAAGGCCTTGCCAGGTAATATAAAATAATTTCCACTATCAACATGCCACATCAACATAACACATTTCATTTAGCCTTTTCTTCTCATGCTAAAGTTTAGAGAAAAATCCATCCATTGATCAATCTTGCAAAAATCCACCCTTTCAATTTTCAGTTATCATTAAAAGAAATTCATAGGGTACCAGCAGAAAATTTCCTCCCAATGCAAATAACAAAAGCTTTTTCCCCATTAAGAGAATTTACCTCCCTAATATGCCAGCTGCCTTGTAAAGTAGGTCAACTGGACATATTCTCTTTTGGTTGTAGTAGTTGAGAAAATTCCTCAGAGATGTGAGGCAATTAAAGTACAAGCTTTACATTTATATTACCTTTTTTTTTTTTTGCAAATGTGCTAGACTTCTATATGATCTGCCCTGGGTGTCTAATGGATCTAGAAGGCTTCCTGAGGTTGCTTTAGGACTTACCCTGTAACCTGGTGGGCAACTCTAGTTGCTTTGTAGAATAAAGAAGAGACAAGAGTGCTGCCAATACTAAGGGTCCATTGATTTTATCTCTGAGAAATGAAAAGAATGAAGAAATCTGTAGAATAAAAATAGTGAAAAATAAACAGTGAATATGATATGAGGCTATGTTTGAGCCTACCTTGAGACAATGCAGAAGTATGCTGTAAATTGTGTCGTAGAATGGTATCCAGCTGTCTTGTTTTGAGTAGCTTAGTTCATGTTGGGGATGAGTGGTTAGGACAATGCTCTTCATCCATTGTGGCATGTCTGCCTATATTATTATTATTATTAGGATTGATTGATTATTAGGATTGAGTCAAGCCAGATGTTTAGAGTAAATTTGGCATTTTTATCCATCTATCAAGTTCTTCCTAAGGACCTGGAATAGGCAGATGTTCTTGTTTGATGATGTCATTGGTATCATTACCGGATGTAAGCTGTTCCAAGTAAAGCTGCTATTTGGAGTCGACTGATGGTGATTTTGTCAATGCTGATGGTGTTCAAATGATGCTCCATATGTTTTAGGATTGCACCCAAGGCACCTATTAGTATTGGTTCTGCTCTAAAGATTCTGCCAAAATCAAAACTAAGTCATCTACAATAGCTCTTAACTTTTATGATTCTTTCTTAATCTTTACACCTGTGATCTTTTCATATTGTACTATATCTCTATTTAGTATTTCAAGAACTAAAATAAACAAGAGAAGAGATAGTGGGCAACCTTCTCTTGTTCCTTTTTGTATCTCACATGATTTAGTTAAATCTCTGTTCATGATTATTTGTGGTGTTATTTGTGTTCCTCAATCTGGAAAAATAATCATGATATTCTATTATACATTACCACCTCAAGCCATGCCAGAAATGATGTGGAAATCCTGACCTGGTGTCTTGAGATTGTATAGGTCTAAATGAGCCAAAACAAATTTAATCTGAATCTCAACAACACAGAAATAGCTCTGGACAAAGTTATTTGCCCTTTGAAGGAGCAATACTAAATATTGGATGTCTTTCTACCCTTAGGGCTTCTGCTGAAAATGGAAGCCATGACCAGAGAGGCATTTACACAATTGTGCCTATTGCAGACCTATCTGCCAACAATGACTCATTTCCTCATCTCTATATGATTAGACTTTGTAATGTACACTGGATCACATTGCCTCTCACGAGGTCCCAGAAATTTTAGTGGGCACAAATGTTAGTGTTGAGAGCCAATTTTCCAGTTAGTGAATCCAATTCAAAATGCTGTTTTTGGCTTGTATGTCTTATATATAAGATATATATCTTATATTTCTAAGTTCAAGAATACCTTACAGACTGTCTGCCCAATCTGGGCACAAGCAGGAAGGGGATGCTTAGTGTCCTGTCCCCATGAGAAAGCAAAAGGACAAAAAGCCTAAGGCAATCCTTCTGTATCATAGCTCCCTGGTTATACAATACCCTACACTAGGAACTGACCTTATTTGCATTCATTCCTTAGAGCAGTGATGGTGAACCTTTTAGAGACCGAGTGCCCAAACTGCAACCCAAAACCCACTTATTTATCGCCGGGTGCTAGGTAGGCATGGCCCACTAGGTGGGCAAGGCTGTGGTGGTCATGGCAGACTGGGTGGGTGTGGCCAAGGTGGGCATGGTCACCTCGATGTTGCTCGTGGGGAGGGATGCCTGTGGGGTCTGGGCAGGATTGGGGGAGATCTGGGGGATCTCTGGCAGATGGGGTGGTGGGCAGGAGGCTCGTCCTGCGGGGTGAAGCGAGCCAAGGTGAGGCAGGGCAGGGGTGCCATTGTCGCAGGGCAAGGCGAGGCCGGGGCAGCTGCTGCCTGACACCATTGGGCCCTGCACACAGAGGCCAGCAAGCGCATGGGGGCCGACAGTGTCCGTCAGCAGCCACAGCCTGCTGGCCCCTCAACCTGTGCACTCTGGGGCTCCGCAGCCCATCGCCAGCAGTTCAGAGAAGCCGCCTCTGAGCTGGACGGATAGCCGACAGCTGAGGAGGCAATGCAGTGGGTTGTGCCCAGGAAAAGGAGAGCATGCAAGCCAGGAGGGACAGGATGGAAGGGGAGGAAAACCAGCCGTGCTGGGATGCATCCGCCACATGGGACTTCGGCAAGTTAGCGGGTGGCTGGTTGAAGAGGGACGGTTGCCATCTCTGGGGCATGGCACGCGTGCCCACAGAGAGGGCTCTGAGTGCCGCCTCTGGCACGTGTGCCATAGGTTCACCACCACTGCCTTAGAGCAATGAAAATAGCTTTATTCCAGCAGGCATTTGAAGATTGATTTTTAGTACTGTTATGACTACATGGTATTTGAGCTTTTGGTTTTTTTTAAATGTGGATATCAGATTTATATATCTTTTCTTTTTAATTTTATTATGAAGCTTTTAGAATCTTGAGAGCTGAGTGTTGCTTAAATTCATATACATATGAATAAGTTCTTGGAAATGAGATAGCATTATTAGAAGCTAAAAATCTCCACTAATGGACTAAGAGCCTGCTCTCCTTTCATTCCCTGTTAGGTAGCTAGATGAACACAGGTTTTCACAGAGCTGGGCAGTGGGTGAACAAATCTTTGTTGGATTTGTTAGAAAAACCACCCAGACTCTAGCTCATGATAAACTAATGAAGGATTATGCCAAGGATTAAAAACAAAAGCAGCTTAACATGTACTACTTATTCTGAAGTACGAGACTCACAGAACACAGAGGGCATGTACAGTTGTATCATACGATAGCTACATGCAATAATCAGCACGACAAGGGAGTAATTATTCCAATGTTTATTTCGCTACACAGGAAGTAAAATTGCCTTTTCTTACTGTCTACCAATCAGGAAGAATCTTTCTCAACCTTCTAAAAGCTAAAAGATGGATTTTATTATTTTATTTACTAAGCTTATATATGTCTCTTTGGTTACAATTGAGTCTGGTTGTTTATCTTAATCCTCATGGATTCCACACAACTACTTTCTACCACTTTTCTGCACCAGCAACCATCACTACTCTTAATGGATTCCAAATAGTAAAGAGATGGCAAAATGACAAGATGATCAGTCTTATTTGTCCCAAGTCAGATTTGCCTGGAATTTCTGAGGTTTTCATTCTGCTGGATTGCTGAATTGATTAACAACCTCTCCATATTTGTTACCTACACGTATCCATATTTCTAATAGCAATCTCCCTTCCCCAGTTCACCACTTTGTCTTTTTCTCTTGGAATTGTCTTCTGAGTCTTGAGGTTCTTATTTTGTTTCTTTTCTTTTTACCTTTCCAGCCATCTCCAAGAGAAGAGAGAATATAAAAAAAGGGAAGAGAAGAGGGGATATAAAAGGAAGGGGGGAGAGAAGAGAGGATATAAAAGTAAGGGAGAGAGAAGAGAGGATATAAAAGGAGAGAGGAGAGTAAAGAGGATATAAAAGGAGTAATGAATCTGGTTTCTCCATCGACTTTGTTTGTCAGAAGGTTACAAAAGGGGATCACATGATCCTGGGACACTGTGGCCATCATAAATATGAATCAGTTGTCAAGCATCCAAATGTAGATTGACCCTGGGGATGCTGCAACGGTCATAAGTGTGAAAAGTGGTCATAAGTCACTTTTTTCAGTGCCATTGTAACTTTGAACAGTCACTAAGTGAACTGTTTTAAGTTGAGGACTACCTGTATTTTATCACTTTTTTCCCTTTTTTTGTTCATCAAGTTTTTGACACCTTGCTAGCCGACTGGTGGTACTCGAATATTCCCATATCCTAAAAGTGGTACAATCTGTGAAAAGGTTGAAAAGCCCTACTCTAACCAACAGCCCTCCATCTCTGCTGGTTCTTAACTTGGATGGAATGTATAGTTGAAGAAGGAGTGAGGGGGAATGTTGGCAGTAGTACTGCACCTTCCCAGGGAGGAGGCAACAGATTCCAGAGAGGGACCAAAGACTAGAGACTGAACAGTCCTGAACTGCATGGGAGGGGGGAGGAAATGGTTCAGAATAGCCAATTATAACCACTTACCGTGTTTCCCTGAAAATAAGACCCAACCAGTAAATAAGCCATAGCATTTTTTCAGGATGCTTGTAATACAAGCCCCACCTCAAAAATAAGCCCCAGTTAAGATTGTCAGCTAGACAGCTGCATTTAGTACCATATTTCCCCGAAAATAAGACCTAACCAGAAAATAAGCCCTAATGCGTCTTTTGAAGCAAAAATTAATATAAGACCCAGTCTTATTTTCAGGGAAACATGGTATTAGCATTTCTTACTACTATTTCACTTAAAAAAAACCCTTCATGTTAAAGGAAAATTGCATTAAACTTTGCTATTAGATTTTCTTCAAGTCTTAAATAAGCACTGTATTAATTAAGCAAATACATTAATATGCTCCTCCTTGTCAATGAATTAAAATAATTTTATCCTTCCTGTTTAGCTATCATAAGTATCAGAAAAGAGGTACAGACTTCTTTACCTTTTTTCTCCCGGTTAATGGTGACCTATATTTTTGTAACCCTAAAATGCATCAGAACAGCTACACTA